TAGTATAGGGTAGCAAAATTCAGCTGAACTAGCTCTGGTATAGGCTGAGGGTTCCAGGGTCCCAGCGGCACATCCCCACTCAGAAATTCCCAAAGTACCTCCCCCGGGGGTAGTAAATGTGGTGTTTAAATGGAAATAGACAATAATCAAACGCAGAAGGGCAATTTCTAAAAATAATTCAAAAGAATACAGTTCAGAAAGCAATATTTTCCAATAACCAGGATCTAACTTAAGAAATGAACGTATACAACCAGAAGCATATCAACATACAACATCCAGCGAATATTGATTACCTCTCCCCTCCCCCAGATGGTAAAATTCTGCAGCTTCTGCTCGCAGCGAGGCACAGTGTAAACAAGATGGCCGGAGCGGAAGGCAGAGTAAGTGAAATTCAAGTGCTATATTTGTCCCGGTTTTTGTCGTAATCTATTGTTATTTGATACTTTCTGGGGAACGCTTTGTCACAAGAAGCAATACTTCTTTTAATTGAGAGCGTTTGAGGTTATTCTCTTCTCCAGAAATAGGAAAATTGAGCCGGAAAATCGTCAACGGAAAATATATTGCACATTGTTTTTAGAATCTTTTGTTGACGATATGGGTGACTGAATGTGGCTGAATGGTGTTTATTTGTCAAAAGGTGCCACATTCAGCTCATACCCTGAAGAATGAACAAGATAAAAATGAAGTTTTAAATTACATCGATGCTCCAAGAAGTAAAGAAACAAAACGTAAAAAGTTACAACACATACGTTGCGAAATAATAGAAATATAGATTAAATAGGGACGTCGTCATATTGATACGTGAATTCCCGTGTTGTAAAGAAGATCTTGATTTTGATACGTGCCTCCGACTTGATTAAAACGACCATTTTGTAAAAAGAAGTCATCAATTAACCAAAGGCGGACCGCTAAATGGTACAATTTACATGTAGAGTGTCATCAATAAATGAGTATTTTTTATAGCTGTAATATACACCTTGCATTGTATCCCGTTCATCCAAGTCATAATATCACCTAATCACCGTTGTACGAGCGAATATCCTACCAAGAATTTACTGCATATAGCTTTTCTGTATTGCATTCACGTACTTTGATCTCAAGTCAACTTTTTTTTTTGTATAGCAAATAGTTCTGTGAGGTGCATGTCACAAATCATGAAACTCTGTAGAGTATTGTTGTCAAACCGAAGGATAAAAAAACATCAGAATTTGAATACAAACAGTGGATTCTTCGAAGCTATGCACTTTGCGGTAAAGTTCCATTATATTTATTTCGTTATCTTCCATTATTTATTGCTGAAAAACTGTGGAGCTCTGGTAGTAATAACACTATTCAATATTTATATAAGTTCAAATGAAGGAAAAAAATTATTGTATGTACCATACGGTAGCAGGTTGATGTTCTTGAGTCATAAATGTTTTATAGCATTCAGTTACTTATAGTTAATGTCTACAGATGAGGCATGAAAAAAAAAGTCAGAACCAGCAAAACTTCTAATCATCACTTCGTTGTAGAAGGTTAATATTGTGCAATTATTTCAAATTTGTTCGTCTTAAATTAATGACAAAGATATGCTAATTTGTTTTAACGTTTCTATTGTATTTTGCATGTTCCTTCACAGCAAGGCTTCTTCTATTTCAAATTGGTAATTTTAAGCTATTCTTAAGCATTGACAGAGTTTTAAGTATCTCTTTAAGATTGAAGTCATTTGAAATTTGTTGTTTGATTAAAATGCATCCTGTTCCATATACCAGGTCATGCAAACTTAATACTCTATGCCCTCAATGCATATTTTCTGCTAGGTAAACTGCAAAGTGATAGGATTTAGAACTTTGCATTCCACTCATTCTTATATTGATTTATATTCCTTATCATGCTGTTTTTCTCATGCTCAGCTGAGGTTCAAAGTTTATCTTGATGAGGGACAGAGAGTAGCTGAAATATTTGTTACGCCAACCACAAAATGCCAAGATATTGTGCAAAGACTTCAGCGGCAGATACAGGAGCCAGATTGCTTTCTTATAGAAGTTTGGCAAGGATGTGGTAGGTTACATGCTTCCAATTTGTTTACTTAATGAAATGTTCTCTCTGTTGGTCAGAGCTGCAATTTGTGGAGTCTCCTTTAAAGTCAGTACTGAAGTCTTGACAACAAACTAGAACTGTCAGTGGCTTTTTTAACCACATTTTTTTGTAAGCTTGATGCATTCATAGATTAGTAATCTGCAGCAATATTGCTGTCAGTAATTGAATTCTCCACAATGAATGTTAGTGTGGACTTCTAAGATGCATTGTAAGGTGAATCCTTTATTTGCAAAATAAACATTTTTGTGCATTTCAGTCCAAATTGAGCCAGTCAGTTTCTCAGCAGTGGTTATATAGCTCATATTAGTGTACTCCGAGATGGTCTCTGTAAATGGTTATCATTAAATTTATTCTCTTGCCAAATGGAGGAATTTGGATCCATGGTTAAATGGGATAACAAATTTTGCAGGAATGTTGATCTTGTAAAATGGATGTGGGAATTTGTACATGGTTGTGTATTTAATACTGACAGCTAGAGAGTGTTCAGGCATAAATGCATTAAAACGTTTTGTATGTCACAACACATTTCATCTACTCACCCTTGTCTATGAAGACTGTACATGTTTTAATTCAATAGGTCTCTAAAAAGTTGTTTTTTCTTTAAAGCTGTGCAGGTTTGGAACTAATGAACTGCTCCAAAACACTAACATTTGTCTCTCACTAGTCACTCTACGTTGTACATGTCGGTAATCTGAAGAACAATGTGTATGC